CTCCACTTTTCTGCCCTAATAATTCACTCACCCATATGTCCTGGTCTCATGGGCTCTATCTGGGCAACACAACCTAAAACATTTTCTTAAACCAAACATTAACCTGGTCTATTATTGTCCAGTTTGGTTATTGAATAAAAAGCATGGTACTCACACACTGACTTAATCTTTTATAAGACATATTTAGACTTATTTTCTGTGCTTTATTTAGACAGTTTCCATTAAATGAAAAAAAATACTTAAACGTACATAAGAAATGAACCATATTTATTCTATACCTCAAAGACATTTTCTTAATATTTCCTAAAATGGAACAATTTAAGGAAAGTAGAAGTAGAAAAATACAGCATTTTAATAGTAAACACTTCTGCAGTTTTGTTTACCTCCACTTTACTTGGTTGAATTTCAGCTATTCTTCATTACTTTAGATTTGCATTTTATTCAAGCAAATAATTCATTTCTCACAACTTATTTAGAAGCTGAGTTCTAGGTGTTTTCTAAACTATTCTTGATTCTGTTAAAGATGGCCGGTGCTATGCTCAAAGGGAAGACCACCTTGGCTCTCTTAATGTTGTCATGATGACTGTCTTTACTCAGTGTTAAAACCTTGACATCCGCTCTCCTTCTAATCGGTCACTGAGTTTCATTCTTTACATAATAACAACATCTCTGCCATATTTGTCTTCCTACTTATGCCTACTGGCTCCACCCTATTTAAAGGCCACCCTTCTATTTTTTTTAAAGGTTTTATTTACTTATTTTTAGAGAGAGGGGATGGGAGGGACAAAGAGAGGGAGAGAAACATTAATGTGAAAGAGAAACTTCGATCAGTTGCCTCTCAAATGTGCCCTGACTGGGGATAAACCCGAAACCCAGGCATGTGCCCTGACAGGGAATGGAACTGGCGAACCTTCACCTTGTGGGGTGATGCCCAACCAGCTGAGCCACCCCTGTCAGGGCAAGCCCGTACCTCTTAACCAGACTTTCATAGTAGCCTTCTAACTGATTCCCCTTCGTTCAGGCATTCCTTCTTCCCATCTCACCTATGCTGAAGGTAGGAGGGGGCCGAGTGTTCTTTCTGAAGCACAGCTCTGAGTATGTCACTCCCAGCTCAAGGACCTTCACAAACTCCACAATGTCAACAGAGTAAAGTCAGTTCCCACACCAGTCAAAGCCCTGGCCGAGCTGATAGATTTATTGGCTGAGAAGTTAGATGCTCTCTAATTTTCCTTCCATATTAGTTTCCCATCCCTGCTGGAAATTACCACAAACATGGTGGCTTGAAACAACACAAATTTATATTCTGTAGCTCTGGAGATCAGAAGTTTGAAACAGGTCTCACTAGGCTAAAATCCAGGTGTTGGCAGGGATATGTTCCTTCTGGGGGCTTTAGGGGAGAATTCATTTTTTTCACCTTTTTTAGCTTTTAGAGGTCACTGCATTCCTTGGACTGTGGCCCCCTTCCTCTATCTTCAAAGCCAGAAATGTCAGGCTGAGTTCTTATGCTGCCATCTTTTGTTTTCCCTCTCTGGCCTCCCCCAGGCTGACCCACAGGACAGCATCAAGTAATCTCTTTGGATCGTTTCTTCTGGTTAGGCCCATGGGAGGCACTAACAGGAGATGGGAAGGCACAAAGCGTGTGATCTCTGGGTCTTTATTTTTCTGGCTTCTGTCCTGCTGGGTGTCTGTAGGTTGAGTTTCACTCCTCTTCCAAATACCATAGCTTTTGTGAAGTGACCTTCTCCATAGAGCTTCCCTCTCTGGGTTCTGGTAACCACTTCCTTCTCATGTTCTTCCAGGTCTACAGCGGTGATGGTTTCCAGTTGTAACTGAATGTGAACAGCTCATCCTGGGTTTGTCTGGGACTTTCTGGGATTTGGACAAGAAGTCCTGAGTCCCAGGAAATGCTAAGTCCTGGCTAAACTTCCACTGTCACTGGGCCCTAAATCCTGCTCAGTCCTTTGAAGATATTTTTTTTTCATTATTTTCTCAATTTCCCAGTTTGCGTGTGTCATGAGTTTTCTGTGGGGATCCTGAAAAAGCCATGGTTATCATGTAAAGCATTTGGAGTTTATCTTTACCATCTGCACTTAGGAAAGATAACCAGGGCTATAACAGGGAGAACCAGCTGAAGGGAGTCAAGAGTGAATGTCGGGAGACAGAAAGTTGTCAGAGTGGTGAGTCAGCTGTGGCTATGCCCGAACGAAGGCAATGGGAATGAAGATGGAGGAGAACTGAGAAATATTAGTCAGGCAAGAATAACAGGATAAGGTGATTAATTGGATGTGGGTGAACAGAGACATAGGGGAGACAAGGATGACATACAATCTGTTACTGAGACTCGTGTGAACCATGATGCTACTCACTGAGACCAGCAATTCTGGACAAGGATTTTGTTTGGTTGGGAAGACTCTAAGATAGTTTCTCCTTCTGCAGCTTTTATTTTCACATTATTAAAGAGGCCTCTGTTATGGATTATAATAAATAAAAAGCTATGAATTTGTTAATGTCCTGAGTTTGTGTGTGATAGGATGTGACCCTAGTTGTCGTTATTAATGTTATGAAAGTCAGCAAAACCTAGTTTTTAGGGGAAGCTTTCATCACTTTTTGTGTTTCTGGAGCTGTAGATATGAAATCAGCATGTACTTTAGGAGGGTAAAAGTAAAAGACTAAGTTGGACTGGATCCTCCCTTTAGACAGAATCTTATGAGGAAGGAAGATTCTATGAAGAATGAATCTGACTGCCCTGCTGACATTCTCCCTTCAGCCCGCTGCCTAAGCAGGCAGCAATAGAGACTTTCGAATTGGTGTGTGACCTATGAGGATGTATAACAAATGACTGTGTACATCCTAGGAACATTTGTGATTCTTGGGTGTCTGTGTGGGACATTTAAATGTGAATGACACTTGAGTAAGTCCCAGAGTTAGCTGGAGTCCATAAATTCTTTAGTCAATATGCGATGGCATTTGTAACTTATAGCACAGCTCCTCCTAAATCTCTGGGTGCTTACTTCCTGAGACACATTTGCATTCTTGTGTTACATAGTCCCAGCTGCTACAAATCTCCTCATCTAGAAGCAGTTTTTCCTACTCTGCATTTTCATAGAATTCAGCTTGTGTATTCCTCATGGTGTACATCATGTCTTGTCTTTTATGATGAGAGTGATTTGTATGCATGACATCTCCCTTAGAAGATGTGACAACTCTCAGATTCTGAGCCTGCACCCAGGCAAATCCTTGGGAGCCTGTCTCTGGGTGGCTCATAAATTCACATTGGCTTTTATTAAAGTCTCAGTTGTAGCTTCTGGTGTCTGATCTGCACTCTGGCAATCTTGATATCCTGCTTCTTTTCCTCTAGCATTAACTTAGTGACTCTTAGAAGCCTGTTGATTCCAAGGAGGGCTGTTAGACTCTCTTAGCCTTTTACTGCCCTCTTTGGATGTCTGGAGTGTAAGGCGTGTTTCCCTGAGCCAGCATGGGAGATATTCTATAGGAACTTCATAGTATCTTCCCTCCGGTAGTTCTTTCCAAGTCTAGTGTTTATTCCTTTGAAGACAGTGCTTTTTCCCCTTTTTTATTGAATTTATTGGCATGACACTGGTCAACTAAACTATCCAGGCTTCAGGTGTGCAATTCCACAACACATCATGTGTGCACTGTGCTGTGCCCACCACCCCAAGTCAAGTCTCCTCCCATCACCATTTATCCCCTCTGTGCCCTCCTCCAGCTTCTCCCTCCCGTCCGCCCTCTGGCAATCACCACTCTGCTGTCCATGTCCATGAGTATTTTCTCTCTTTTTTTGTTTTTTTGCTCAATCCCTTTACCACCCTCACCCAGCACCTCCCCCCCGCCCAGACAGCTGTCAGCTGTTTATTGTGGGAAAGTACACATAATGTAAAATTGACCATCATTTCTGACCGTGTGGTTGGTTCAGTTGTATTAAATATATTCAGATTGTTGTGCAAGCATCGCCACTGCCATCTCCAAACTCTTTTCATCTTGCAAACCTAAAGCTCCATATCCATTAGAAAATAGCTACCCACTCCCCAACCTAGGCCAGCCCCTGGCAACCACCGTTCTGCTTTCTGTCTCTATGTATCTGACTACTCTAGATCCCTCATGTAAGTGGGATCATACAGTATTTGTCTTCTTATGACTGGCTTATTCCACTTAGCATAACGTTCTCAAGGTTCATCCATGTTGTAGCATATATTGGAATTTCTTTCCTTCTTAAGGTAGGATAATATTCCACTGCATGGATATACTACATTTTGTTCATCCAGTCATCCATTGGTGGGCATTTGCCTCACTTCCATGTTTCAGCTATTATGAATAATGCTGCTATGAACATCGTGCTTCCTGACATTCTCTTTTATTTTAGGTTTGAGTCTTTTTTATGCATGGTAGTCCCCAAGAGACTGGATTTACTCTATTTTCATCTGTGAGAAGAATGAGAAGAGGATTGTGTGTAAGGGATTGATTAAGGCATCGGGGAAGTGGAATTGGGAAGAGGACACAGCCATCACCTGAGATTTCAGGAACTCCCAAGAAGGTAGCATTAGCTTGATCCCAGGGGAGAACTTTGACATGTAGACTAGGCTTCAGTGCTGTCCCACTGCAAAGCAAGAGAGCCAAGTTTCACACTCTTGTACCTTTTAGTCTTCCTCTGTGGGGGTGAAAACTTCCAGGCGCTTCTGGCTTTCTGTGTTATTGGGCAGAGCGGCTCCAGCAGCCCTCAGCAGTCCTCCACGTTAGCATTGTAAGTGTGGGCTGTTGGAAGTGAAAGCACCCCAGAGCTGGGAAAGGGGCCCACAGCGAGAATAGAGGGGAGCTGGGGGGATCTGGGTAGCACAAGCAATGTCCACTCTAGCTTCTCACTGGGAGTTTACATTCTAGGGTCCTGGGTACAAACCATTACTTAAAATGTCCCTTCTGTGGCATTTCCAGGAGGTCCATTAAGAATTCATGAACTCTTTCTGCCATCTTTTCATGCCACCATAATGCAACACTTGCATGTCCTGGCTGATGCTCTCACGAGTATCAACAGTGCCGAAAAGAGAGACAAACGCCAAGTTCTTATAAGGCCATGCTCCAAAGCCATCATCCGGTTTCCAGCTGTGATGATGAAGTGCAGTTACATTGGTGAATTTGAAATTATGGATGACCACAGAGCTGGGAAAATTGCTGTGAACGTCACAGGCAGGTTAAACAAGTGTGGACTAATCGTTCCCAGATTTGAGGGGCAACTTGAAGAGCTAATAAAGTGGCAGAAAAACCTGCTTCCATCCCATCAGTTTGGTTTCATGGTATTGACAACCTTAGTGGACATCATGGACCATGAAGAAGCCAGATGAAAATACATGGGAGGGGAAATCCTGGGATTCTTATTCTAGGGATGTAATACATAGATGCAGATAAAATGCTTCAATGGAAAAAAAAAGAATTCATCAAAATATGACTCCTAGTTACCTTCTGCAGTATGCCAGTATTTCTTCGAGGGGTGATTTTGTGAAAATTCAGACCAGATTTTCTAAATCACTCCTTAGATGTCCATTATTATCTAATATTATCTTTGCAAACCTCTCTGCTCCCATTGAAATTAGTTTTGAAGGTTGTTCACAAAGTTATAAGAAAGATTTTCCTCTTAAAAACTGTGGAAGAAAAACATTTTGGGACAATATGACAGGCAAGGGACATTAGTAATGTTATTTTACAAATTCATGAATATAACCTTGATTATATGAGTGCAAATTTATCCCAGTTTTCAGTTTCTAGGGACTTCCTGTTGCTGGCGATGCTTCATGGAGGGGAAGGTGTTATTAAAATCCACAAATCCATCTTTCCTAGCATGAACATAACTTTTAATTTGACAGTCATAAAAGTCATCAATTATAACCACTGTTTTAAAGATAGAGGAAGTGAGGGAGAGAAAGTTAATGGCATTTCACTGAAGTTGTATTAATCCAGCAATAGATCCTCCCATTAACTACAACTTATTCATTTTCAGTTAAAAATAAATTTCATTCATGGGACATGATTATTATTGGTTAGCAATATGGTTTAACTTTCCTCAAGAACTTATTCCCTTTCTAGCTTCCAATCTTTTTATTTGCCATATAAATTCCAATTAATCCAAATGAGTTTTGAGACTCAGCAGTAACATTGTGCTTTATGCTGTTGGGGGGCAGTGGGGGGGGTGGCTAATACTGTAGTCCAGGATGCTAAGATAGAGCCATACTGAGTGAAGTTCAAGTCAGATTCAGAGCCAACCATGAAGTCATGAAGTGACTTCTATGTGTCTTGATCTCTGCGAGGAGTATTATTATCCCATTCAATCCATTCAACATTCTTATGAGAAGAGATTATTGGTCCCAATTTTACATTGAAGCTGCCAATTATAAAATATTGAATATATGACCATTTTACCACCATATCCAGCAACATCATTCTCCTAAGTCCCATGATTATCTGTAACTTCTCACTTAAGATTCATGTAACTGGTACTCATTGATACTTTGTCAAAATGGGAAGAGATTAAGAAAATTTATGACCTATTAAAAGCAATCCGTAGATATTATTGATATCAGAAGCAGTATCTATGGGGTTGGAGAATTTCCAAACATACATTTTGGAGAGCAAGGGGAGGTAGGAAGAAGTAGAGATTATGGGAAAAGGTAACAGACTGTGTAAGGGCATCTGAGTTAGCTTTTGCCAGTGTGGCTGTAATTACCAATGGAGTGTAAACACAGGGTAAACGTACTGAACAAGCACAGTACGTGGTATGTAATAATAAGTCAACCTTATTTTTGAGTCCCTGTGTATCTTTTTAAGTTTAACATATGAAGAAGCCTCTGTCTCCCTCCCTCTGGGTGAGTACCCCAATGCCAATGAGGCAACAGCAGAAGTAACCACAATACCACCATATATTTTGATACACTTTACACCGTATGAAGTGTTTTTGTGTAGATGCTCTCATTTGAGTATAAAAACATTTTCAGTATTTATACTCCCATTTTACATTTGGGAAGTCTGAAATTCAAGGAAAAGGAAGGACTTTTCTACATGATAACAGCAATAATATTAATAGACAATGTTTATTGCTCATTAACTTTAATGTTTACTTATTAATAGATGTTATCTATTGACATTCAATATTATTAGCTAGTAGTAGTTAATATTTATTGGCAGCTCAAGGAATCACACACTTTGATCATCACAAACCTCTGATTAGGTACCACTTTAAAATTTTCCTGTTTCCCAGATGAAGGAAACTGAGATTTAGGGAAGGTAGGCAATTTGCTCCAAAGTCTGGGATCTGAACTCAGCGTGTCTATTATGCTTGTATGTTGGCTTAGATTCATACTCTGGCTTTTCCTCTGTCCTAGCTTTGTCCCTTGAAATCCAAAGCACAGTATGCGCCCACCTGGTAACTTGGTGGTTCCAATTCAACCATCTTGTAAGGGAAGAAAATTTAACAACTAACATGCCTGTCAAATAATCTAACAATATCCATTATACTGAATGTACCCAACCTTGAGATGCTGTGTACTGAGGGTACCTTGATGGGACAAAATGTAGCTGTTGATCAAAGGAACAAAAGACACGTACCTCTAGAGAGTCAGGCTTGCATTTGTTTGCAGCTGAAAACAATTACGAGTTTTTGCTATAATCAAGCAAACTGACAATATGCTGTCAGCCAAATATCTGGAAACTGCACAATTAAGCCGGTCTTAACTTGGCATTGATAAGGAATAAAGCTCCAGCCCAAAACAGATGCCTGTGTAGTTATGAATAAGGACCTCCAGGTGTTTACATCATTTTTCAGCCCATAATTTTGGAAATTGGATAATTCATGTGACTCCAACTATGTGACTTACCTGTGACTAAATTTTGTGAGTCTCATGGCAGGGACTACACAGATGGAGAGCTGATGTACAATTTGAGATATTGTCACATTGTGTCAATGGCTAAAAAAGTTTCTGCAAGCAGCCAGAATGTGTTGTTGCACATTGATCAGACAAGAAAACCGCTTAGCTTTAGCAAAACTCTGCTGGCCATGAAGGTAAAAACCATATTGTCAGAGTTTTTTATAATCATCTACAAGACAGATACTAGGCTTCTATTAGCACGCGCATGTGTGTGTATGTATGTGTGTTGTGTTAAGACCGAAACCTAACCAATGTTAATCTGTGACATTAATGAGATCCAATTCAAACACCAGTTATAACGTAGTTATAAATTGTATCTTTGGTTAGTTTAGAAAGTGTATGTTTAACTACAGTTTCCAATATAGTATAAGAAAAGAGTGACTGATCTTGGGTTGTTGCTGAGAAGTGCCAGTTATGCAATTCAAATACTTCTATGAATTCACATATGCTAATAAATACTAAAGTAAATTATTCATTTTTGTACACTAATGACTTGAAATATAATAAAATAATTAGCTTTAGAAATATTAGCATAAGGTCTGTGAGTTCAATAGATTTGAATAAATATTAATTTATAAATGAATATATAAGCATAATTGCAATGAATTTTTCTCTATTATTTCATGCTATTAAAATAATTTTATTTATTTGCTACAATATTTCAGTGTTTTCCAGGATGAAATAAAACTAGATGAAGGATCACTAGATAATAAATTTGACTTATTTAATCTCATGGTCTTACAGTTAAGGACACTAGACTATTTAAAATTTTTTATTTTCAAACAAGACAGGAATTCTTAGTGAATTAATTACAATTTACTTTAACAATTAAATATGAGCAAAGATAACTATAGTGATCTAAATATTTAATTTTCTTTGATCACTGCAAAATTGGACACTTCTGCAGCATTCTTCAGACTAACTCCATAAAATGCCATGCTAATTATGCTTGTGATGTGAATTTTGATGTGATTGTAGGAGCTACTATTGCTTTGGTCTGTATCATCATACTTCTTTCAAATGGCAATCATAAAATCTTGCAGGATTTTCAATATAGGATCTTATTTCAGAAATCAACAGCATTCAGAACTATGGCTCATAGGAAAAGATAGTTCAATCATGCTATGATTTAGGTTACTAAATTGGAATGAAATAATGTTTCCTATCCTAAAATACATAATTTGTTATTAAGGAAAATAGCTAGAGTTTCAGAGTACACAGCAAGAAAATGCTGTCTTTTAAAATTTATTATTATCCTTTTTAAAAGAGCTATGATCTTCTGCACTCCTCCCTATTGCTTTGAAAGTTGTTCTCCCCAAATTACCCTACGATCAATAGGGAGATGCAGTTGTTGGCATGTACATTTCAGCCTGCTACAGGGTAAATGAGCTGACAAATCATGAAGCAGGGGTTCCTTACAGAAGGTGAGATCGTGTTCCTCAGACAGCGTCCCACAGGAGCTCCACGGCACATCTCCCAACGCTGACAACAGCCTGCTTTCCATGTTGACCCTGGGCTAGCAATCCCACCCATGGATATAGAAAATCTCAAGAAAACCCTCAGGGCCTCCCCAGTTCCTTACATGGGGAAAGTTCTGGAATACCTCCTTGGTTGCGCCTTTCTGGCACTTCTGTTTATGAGGGGAGTCAGTACTAGGCTTTTGACCTGTTTTTTCCCTCTTAGCTCAGTCATCAACCCTTGGTCCTAACAACGTAATTGCCTTTTGGTTCTTTTCATTCTTTTCCCTGCCTTGTGAAAGGCCACTAGAACTGTCCTTCCTGGTAGAGAGCAGCCTTTGAAATTTATCAACAACCTTAGGGTATTGACTATTGTCATTTTAAGGCTAATCCAAGACTAGTCAAAAGCAGGGAGATCAAGGGTAAGAATCTAGAGATACTAAAATATGAAAGTTTAGAGGAGCTGATATGAGAAATATGAAAGTATCAGCAAGAGCTGATAAGGAATGAACGGGCAGTGGAGGGAGAGAAAGTTTTCATATAAACCAAATTTTACAGGTAGAGCAGTATTAAGTGCACAGACACTCTGTAGAGGCAAGGGCAGAATCTGAAAGGACTGTTCAATTAGCAAGCTGGGTTGAAAGCCAAGGTCAAGACTCACAGAACAAGTGTGATGGGGATCCTTTAGGAGAGGCGCCCCAGGCAGTCGGAGCAGGGAGGGACTTGCTCAGAGAGCAGCTGGGGTGCTGTTGGGCCTAAGACTTCGTCTCAGCTGTTTTTAAAATCCGCATTGCCTCCATGTGTGGCGCAGCTCTTTCTACCTTCATTTCTTAACCACAAGTGGATTCTTGCCAAAAATTAAGATTAATTTTGCGAGAAAACCTAAAATAAATTGTGTATCTGTATATGATGGGCTTAAAAATATTCTGGAAAAACAGGTAGAGTCCTATATAAAGTAAGTGATTGGGG